TACCAGCCACTGCTGTGGAAGGGTTTCTGAGGGTTGCAGTGCATGAACGTAAAGTCAGTGCTATCCAAAGAATTGAACACTGTGGAGGGAAATGTGGGATTCAAGACATCAACTAATCCTGCTCTGCCTAATATTATTGAGAATTTGCTCTCATTGCATTTCAGAAGTAAAGATGTGACCTCAGACGAAGATAGTGATTTAAAAAGTAGTGATAGTTTAACCTACTAAGGAGCTGTAGATGGAAAATGGCAAAAATGAAAGGAGCAATCTGTTTTTCATGTTTATGATGCATAAAGAAAAAAGCAAAAAGCAAAAAAAAAAAAAAAAAAGGCTTAAACTGCAGCAGGGAACCTTCAGGTTAGCTGTTAGGAAAAACTTCCAGATGGCAGGGATATGAAAAGACTGGAAAAGATTGTTAGGGTGATTATGGAGGAGACTCTGTCACCACATTTTATGAGGATGTTCTTCGAAACATGTTAGATAAAATTAATTAGGAATAACGTTTTATTTACCCTGTATTTATCCACCCACATAGATGTATATTTCTTTTAACTGGATAAATATTATTCCTCGGAAGTGCCATCATAATTTACAGGGTCAATAGAGGGTCAGGAAGAAAAAAGAGACAGCAGTTTAACAAAGAAAGAGGATCAAGTGTGACACGTTCATAGTGGTCCACAAGAAAAAACATTATTTGACTTATACATGTACATCTCTCTGCTGTGGCTCCACTGAGCTGTGTTTCCTTTCTGTGTCAGACAGCTTACTGTCTGACACAGAATGCCATTGCTGGTGAATTAAGTGTGCAAGTATCAAAATGTGAAAACTGTTTTTTAATTAGCATCATTGTCAATATGACTCTATTTTGGTAGAATGCAAAAAATACTCAAGAACAACCAAATGCATTCATTTTGATGTATAAATAAATGCGAACATTTTTTTCCCCTTGTGTTCATCCATGCAACAGTAACTAAATATGCTTGAGTAATGGCATATCATTCCAATAAGGGTGATATATCTTTTGGATGTATGTACCAAAGAGAGCATGGTTAATTCACATTGACTTTCGCTGTTGTTTGTAGCAGTGACTGCAACAGATAGTACAGCATACACCAGATTAGGAATATTGGTTGCAAAATGCTGTTTCATTGTAAGCAATGGTGACTGTGCAGTCCAGAAACCGCAGATGTGATCTGTATTGTTATGAAAAAATGCATTGCTTACACTGAAAATCTAAAAGGTGACGTGAACGTTTGTGTGATAAGGTTTCTGAATTATATGGAAATGGCTTAGTTTATGCAGCTATGAGGAGAGAGTGTTTTCTTTTATAATTCCAGAATGTAATGGAGATTTTTAAGCAGATGAGCAATTTAAAATATTCTAAGATTTAATTTTGATAAGTGTAAAATAATATGCGTAAGAAATTATTATCTCATGCAAATACAAATGTAATAAAATCCTTGTTTAAAGGATTTACAGAGTAATAGTGAATACTGGATGTGTACTAGGACCAGGCTCTGAAGTCTGTTGCTATCCTGGATTTTACACACAGAAAGCTCTCTCACTTTTTTTTTTTGATGAGGACAAGTGTAATAATTGCTAATGTAGTCTGATCTCGGTGCCATCCATGGCAGGTATACCTTTACTAGGAATCTTAGTATTTCTAATAATCAGCTGTCCTGTGTTTTCATTGTTCACAGTATGTTGAAACTGGAGGTAAATTTATAGCCAAACTACATGGATATAGGACAATGTTTTGCGAAGCAAGGATGATGTAAGAAAAAGATCTAACAGGCTTTAACTATGGGCCTTCTCACACAGATTTGCTATGAACATCAATGTCGTTTTCAAGTTCTGTATCCACCAGACAACAACCTGTTTCATTATTGCCTACCACCACTAGACAGTGGTAGACTCACTGATGTTTCATATAGGTAGTCTTTGAGAAAGAAACACATTTGGTTCCTGCAGGCCGTGTGTAGGACATTTTTTTTTTTTCTAGCTGGTGCTGCTGAGAATAATTAGAGTCACCTTCTTTTATCTGGCTTTTTTTTTTTTTCCTAACCTAGTGTGAAAAGTTTGCAATTAGTGGATAAGGGTTATGACTTCTTATTGCCAAGCCACTCTCCGTCAAGTTTGAAGAGTCATGGCAATCAAGCAAAGACCCTGGTGACTGGGAAATGGGAAACATCTCCACTTTATGGCCTTGAACTGTCTAGTTGCATTAACAAACTACACAGCAAAAGATCAGATTAAGCTTTTCCTTCAAAGTAAAAAGTATTAATTAGAAGCAGGACAAGTTCATTGACATTTTAGTACTGAATTTCAAAGTAAGCTGGAATAAAAACATCAAAGCTCATAAGTTAGGGGCAAGAATCTCTACTTTATTTTGCAAAACTGAGAGGTATTCTGTTTTGCAAATGACAAATTGTTCTGATACAATAAATATCAATAAAGTGCTTCAATTAAAAAAAAAAAAAGAAAAAACAACAGGAAGCATGTGAGGGAATTCACAGGTGAAGGATAAGCTGAACATTTAATTTTGAAGAGGAAAATGATTTTTTCCCCACAAAGATTTCTACTAAATCAGACTCATGTTCTCTTCACCAATCTGCAGATGTTATTCCACATCTTCATTGTAAGCTTCCTGCCCCTTCAAAACTGCAAATGAGTTAGAGAAAGACTGTCAAGTAGTCCTCACAGCTCCTTTTCTATGAGGAGCTTATGTGGTATTTGCCTCTTACTGAATGGATGTTCCATTTTGAGTATTATATTTATGCTGCTTGGTTCATCTGTTTTGTTACTCTCATATGGCTTTGGAGAAGCTTGCCCATCTATTTTTACTGTTTTCATCTTGTATTTCCCACTGTCTTATGTAAAACTAACAAGTTGGAAAGGAACATTCTGTTGGTCAGTAGCTCAGCTGGCAAGCTCTGTATATAAAGCTAAATGCTAATAGGAGAAAAGATGACCCATTCACTCACAATGTCGAAGTGAATCAAAGGAAGAGCTCAGAAATAGATCTTGCCTTTGCTGATCTGTAAGCAAGGATCTGAAGATAAATCAGATTGCAGAGGACACAGTGCTGTAGGATTACTCTGTGGTTGTGTGATCGATGCTCCTCAGGAGTCACAGGTAGGTTTAAGGATCTATAGACTGTTTCATCCTGTAGATTTCACATGTAAGTACCTGCTTGTAAATGCCTTGAGTACTGAATGTCAATTAGAATCACATTTCCCATGACTTCAGTGGTACTTTATTGGAAACACATCAATATGCTCAGTAGCTGTTTAGTGGAATTTTTATTGTATTATCTCAGAATCAGTTCTGCACAGTGAAAGCGCATAAAGACAATTTGATTCCTTACCATCTAGTTTGGGAAAGTCTTTATGTCAGCCTCGTGTAGTTAAGTAACTTTTCAGTAACTAACTGAGTGTTGTGTTTGAAACCAAAATTTATTCAAGATAAGAAAGAGTAATAATTCTTCATATAGCTTGAGTGTATTTCTATGTGGATGGCAGCACCAAATTATTCTAATGACATCCAAAGCAGGGTAAGAAACATGGAAAAAGAATTTGAAGATAATTTGAATGAACTTGATCAGAGGTTGACAAAATTTAATACCTGTATAGGTTGGCAAAAAGCATACCAAGTAGTTATGATACCCTAAGTATCTACAAATACTTAGAAGGTAATTATGTATATGAAAGAAATTATGTGTTGGAAAGATAATTATGTATAGCAGTTGCACAGCATCACAGAGTAATGAGTTGAACCTAAAATAAGACATGGTACATTAGACGGTATTTGGTATGTGAAGTGGAAGAGTAAGTTCTCTTAGAGGAATTCTGGCTCACCATTTTGCCCTACCTTTAAGAGTGAACACAATGAGGAGAAAGAGGAAATAATCAGCCCTTCTCCCTGCCTCCCTCTTTTGATTGTTCTCCATTCCACCTACTCCTGCCCCTCTGTCCAGTTTTGTTAGGCTTGATACAAGAGGAGATTTCATAAGATGCAGTGTGAGAATCTCACAAAGGTACAGCTGATTGAGTAAAAAGGGTGGCTCTGGGAGAAACAGTTCAAATCATATGGATTATGAGTGTAGTCCTATGGAGTATTACGCTATTGAAGCTTTTTCCTGCATTGAAGAAGCTCCCTAAAGCTATACGCACTATATGTTGAAACACGTGCTAAGTGCTGCAATACCGGCCCCGTTACGTTCCAGTGTTCCTCTTTAATGCAGAAGCTACCTGTTCCTCCTCAGTCTCCTCTGAATACCTGAAGGAATTGGTATCCTAAGCCCATGGATTTCCTTATTTAATGGTCATTGTTCACTGTTACAAAGGGAACTGTTACCTGAATATGTTGAGTCCCATCCCAGGTCTCTTGTGGTTAAATTAGTTAACCTCATTTATCTTCTCCACACCTCTGTAGTAACACTAATTAGATGAAAGTGGTACTGTATGAGAGTTCTCAATGGTATTGGTATGTAAGGCAAAAAGTTATCTGCTTAAATTGCAAAGATAATTTATTTGTCGCAAGGAAGTAGGAAAGGAAAGTTGTTTCCTTGTTTTTAGGAAAGGGCTTACAGGAAACAGTACAGCAAAGACTGACCTGTTTTGTTATTTGAGTTGAATCAATTACTTACAAGTCAAGAATTTGATAACTTTTATTAAGCTAATTATACGTAATTTTACTTTGTTTTACCTTAGTAAGCTGCATGGCAATTGCAGCCTTTCTATTGCAATACTGATTGCCTTTTCATTTGTTACTGTCTTCAAAGTAATTCTATCACTTTGTTCAAGACTAATATTTAAAACATTTTTCTTCAGCTTTTTTGAGTCATGACTCTTGTTGTTATATATTCTTCTATTTTTCCTGTAAGGAAATGCAGTGTTTATAAGTGGCAGGTTGTGACCCAGCACTTAATTACATTAGCAATTTACATATCCTTAAGATCAGCTGAATAAGACTTGTTTCTACACTGTTTTTATTTTTAGGAATGTTGTCTCTGCAATTTGAGAGGTGGTGCATTAAAGGAAACTACTGACAAGAAGTAAGTAATATATTTGTCAAGATTGCATGTTCTTGTTTTAATTTTTTTCGCAATCCATTCCCATGTACAGAGCATTTGTAAGCTTAATTATTTGACAGTGTCCCTTTAAGTTGAATCATTGCAGAATTAAAATTACTCCTATTGAAAAGTGCAGCTGCCATTTTGTGAAATACATCCTAAAATGTACATTTGTTTTGGTATTTGCACAGGCTTATGTGTTCCAAATTCCATTCTGCTGGTTGTTGTGTAAAGGAAGCAAATGAGAGCTCATTTGTCATTGTTTGCATGGTCAAATCTTGCCAAACAGTGAAATGCGTATTCTTCTTTATTCCTGGAAATTTGTGATTACAGAATTTAATAGGGAGCCTTTGAACTTCTGCTGGAAACAATATTTTATATTAATTAATCTGAGTAATATTAAAATACTTCTGGACTTGAAATGTTTTTCTAAGTATGTTTCTATCATACGCTGTCAAAAATAGTATTGTTTCTGACATCATACTATTAACAGCATTAGTATTTTTCTCTTCATTTTTATGATAGTGCAGTATACCAGTTAACCTAAATAAATAAAATGAGAAATGTTGTGGCTTAACATTTTTAAAGCCCAATACTGAAACAGTCTTCATGCATTTGGGGTTTTCACATAATTAGTTAAATAGTTGTAGTATATTAGCAATATCATGTAGACCACTTTCTTTATAAATCCCTTTGGACTACAGTCATAAGTGCTCATCTAGCTGCAATGTTCTTTTCCACTTAGCAGGCCAGAATTTATTTATCAATCATTTGCAATTGGTTGCATAGTGTTTTTCTCTGCATTTTGTAAATTTCTGGTTGAGGAGAAGGTTGTATGTAAAATTCAATTATCTTCAGAAGCATTAATATTGTTATCAAATTAATGAAGGTTTTGACAAACTCATGAAAATACTTAGCTGCTTTATATCTCTGCTTTAAACTCCCCATAATAGTTATTTGTTACTTGCTTTTTCTAACCAGGAAAAAAAAATAATAAAAAGACAAACTGTGTAATCTAAACAGAATTTATGATGTCATTTTTATATTTGGAACCGACAGATTACATCTTTGAAAATAAGTCTTTTTTTTGTAGATCAGTTAATTTAAATTTTTTCATAAGATTTATTCATAGGACAAAAAAGAAAAAACTCAGGGATCTGCAGAATATGTATTCCTCTGCAGAACTATACCTGAAGTCTTTGGTTTTGCATTATATCTCTCTCTAGGTTTCTGTTACAGATTTGTGAAATAACAGCTTTGTAAAAGTCATTCAACTCTTGTTTTCCTGTTCGCATAACAGATTATAGTTGCTATAAAATGTTGAGTCCTCACCCATACTTAACACTGTTCTATCTACCATTTCAAACTTTTGAAACATTTCAGAAGGTTATGATCCATTTTTTTTCTCCAACAAGTAGAAAATCCAACATAAGCATTCTCTTCCTTCCTTCTCTCTCATATACTCATTAGAGATGCAGAATTGGCATTACTTAGATTTAAAAAGTTATAAATCAGACATGGTGGGGGAGTTACAATTTGCGGTAAAGGAGAGCTGCGATTCCTTCTTGAGTGAAGACAGCAATTGTTACGAGTCCTGTTAGGTTGATAGCCGTCAGAGTATAAGAGCTTGAGTCTAGATTTATCGAATAGACATTCTATTTACAGCATTTCTTTCCCCATAAAGCTTAGATGGTAAGACACCTACTGTTAAGACAATGTACTTTTGCAGGCAGGCAGCAAGGAGGAAAAAAAAAGTTGTTATTAGAAGTAAAAAAAAAAGAATTCTCAAAGTGAGATGAGATGTTTTCTGTATGTTGAAATATAAGTGGAATAGTCTCCATAATAAAATGATAGATCTACATACTTTATCTGCTTTCATTTGGGCTGACCTGCATAACTTACTAGTGGGTATATCATCTTTACATACAGCTCTTATTTCACACTTAGGCAGATACAACTTTAACATTACATGACAACAGTTTACTTAGTCCCTGTATGTTATATTATAGTTTGTATAATCACATATTATCTGTGTGATGGAAAGGTCTGGGATTTTACCGTTCTGGGTAGCTGAACTCCATCACAACCTCTCTCTCACTCCTCCGCTCCCCTGGAAAAAAAGAAGAAAGTATGCTGGAAAGAAAGAAAAAAAAAATCACAGGTTGAGATAAGGATAATTTCATTAAAGGGAAGAGTGAAAGAAAAAAAAAAAAAAGAAACAAAAACAAAAACCAAGCAAAGGCTGAAGTGCAGAAGCACAGAAAGAAAAGAAATTACTCTCTACTTCCTATCAACAAGCAATGTTCAGCCACGTCCAGGAAGCAGGGCCTCAATACATGTAGCAGTTGTTTGGGAGGACAGACATCTTCACGAGTGCACCCCCCTCTCCTTCCCCTTCCACACCGCCCTGGTGATGTTCCCTCCCCACTTCTTGCCCATCCACAGCCTGCTGGCTCTTGGGGGGTGAGGTTGGAGGAAGTCCTGAGGCAGTGCCAGCATTGCTCAGCAGCAGACACAACACTGGAGTGATACCAGTGCTATTCTAGCTACAGGTGCAGAGCACAGCACTGTATGGGATGCTTCAGGGAAAGTTAACTCCATCCCAGCCATACTCAGTACAAAAGGGCTCAAATGTTGAGATAATGACAAGGAGATCACTCAACAATTATTGTCATGGTCAAAACAAACTCAGCATCCGGAGAGTAATACAATATATTGCCTATAACTAGCAGACTAGAGCAGTGAGAAACTAAAAGCAAACCAAAACCTTGCCCATCCACCTCCTTGCCCTTCCACCTCCTCCCCCAAGTGACACAGGGGAATGGGGGCTGCAGACAGTCTATAGTACTTCATCTCCACGACTCCTTCACAGGTCCCTCTCTGCCCCTGCTCCCCGTGGGGTCCCTCCCACGGGATGCCGTCCTTCCTTAACTGAGCCTGCAGGGGCTGCCCACAGGCAGCAGCTCCTCAAGCACTGCTCCCACACGGCTCCGTCCCACGGGGTCCATCCATCCCCCAGGAGCAAACTGCTCCAGCACGGGTCCCCCACGGGTGGGCGGCAGCTCCCCCCAGACCCCCCCTGCTCCCGCGTGGGCTCCTCTCCACGGGCTGCAGCTCTGGCCTGGGGCCTGCTCCTGCGGGGCCTCTCCATGGGCCTCCTCCAGGCCACATCCACCTGCTCCACCAGGGGCTCCTCCACAGGCTACAGCGTGGAGATCTGCTCCATGTGGGACCCATGGGCTGCAGGGGGACAGCCTGCTCCACCAGGGGCCTTTTCCTGCACAGGCCGCAGGGGAATTGTTGCTGCCTGCCTGGAGCACCTCCTGCCCTCCTGCTGCACTGACCTAGGGGGCTGCAGGGCTGCTTCTCACTCCTTCTTCTCCCAGCTGCTGTTGCCCAGCATTTTTTTTTCCCTTTCTTAAGTCTGCTCTCACAGAGGCACAAACAACATGGCTTATTGGCTTGGCTCTGGCCAGCAGCAGGTCCCTTTTGTATCCAGCTGAAACTGGCCCTTATCTAACATGGGACAGCTTCTGGAATCTTCAGAAGCCACCCCTGCAGCCCCCAGCTACGAAAACCTTGCTACATAAACACAATACAAGGTCAGGTATCATGGGAGGACAACAGAAATGCTGTTCACCGTTGCAGGGAGAAAATTTGAATGGCCAAAGCTCAGTTGGAGTTGAAACTGGCTAGTACTGGGAAGGGACAGCAAAAAGTTTTTTTTTTAAAGTCTGTCATTAGCAAAAAAGGACCGGAGATAATATTGGTCTTGTAGCTTGATGAGATTGGTCACCTCACAAATAAGGATATAGGTAAAGCAAAGACGTTTAATGACTTATTAACTTCTGTCAGTGATGAGCTCTGGGACCCCCTAAGCCCTGGGTTGAAGGACTATCACCGTGGGAACAATAAACTCCCAGACAACTCCAAATAATTGTTGGATTTGTTGCTTCAGCTGAATGTCCGTAAGTTTATGGAGCACAATGGGATGCATCCTAGGTTAATCGAAGAACTGGCTGATGTCGTCGTGAGACCTCTCAGTTATTTTTCAGTGGTCTTGGGAATCTGGAGAGATCCCAGCTGACTGGAAGCTGGTATATAATTAGTGATAGGAGAAGAGGGAATGGCCTCAAGTTGCACCAGGGGAGGTTCAGGTTGGAAATTAGGAGGCATTTCTTCTAAGAAAGATTAGTCACGCATTGGAATGGATTGCTCAGGAAGGTGGTAAAGTCACCGTCCCTGGGGGTGTTTTAGAAAAGGTTGGATGTGGTACTTAGGGACATGGCTTAGTGGGTGATATTGGTGGTTGGGGGACAGTTGGACCAGATGATCTTGGAGTTTTTTTCCAATCTTAATGATATTATGATTCTATGATTCTACGAAATGTTGTCCCAGTTTTCGAGAAGGGTAAGAAGGAAGACCCTGGTAACTGCAAGCCTGTCGGTTGTACTTCAATGCCGGGTAAAATTATGGAAAAGATTGTTATGGGAGTTACTAACTTCATTTCCTTTCATGGCAAAGTTGCCCACCTTATAGACCAGTGGAAGCCAGTAGACATGTTTTTTTTGGATTTCAGCAAAACTTTCAGTACTGTCTGTAACAACATCCTTCCAGACAAAATGTACAGCATATATCTTCTTTACAAAATCTTACTTGAAGGGTGAAGAGTAGTCTGATAGGTTGGGCTCAAAACGTTATGGTTAATGGGGCTACATTGGACTGGCGGCCAGTTACTAGTGGGATTCTGCAGGGTACCATTCTAGGGCCAGTTTTATTCAATGTTTTTATAAATGTTCTGGACACAAGACTTGAATGCATACTAAGTAAGTTTACAGATGGTACTAAGTTAAGCAATCACCAGCTGTATGAAATTTAACAGAGCAAGTGTGTATGATCCACCTGGGATGTTCTGGTCAATGGCAAGATGAACTTGAGTCAACAGCATGCCCTGACAGCCTAAAGGGCCAGCTGTATCCTAGGGTCCATCAAGCACAGCGTTGCTAGCCAGTCACAGGAAGTGATTGTCCTGCTCTACTCTGTGCTTGTACAGCCTCACCTTGAGTACTGTGTGCAGTTATGGGCACCACAGTTTAAGGACATAAAACTATTGAAGAGTGTCCGAAGTAGGGCAACAAGGATAGTGGAATGTCTCACCAGGAAGATGTATGAGCTGAGGTCCCTTGGTTTGCTCAGCCCCGAGCAGAGCAGGCTGAGGGGAATCCTCATGGCGGCCTGCAGGTCCCTCACGAGGGGAGTGGAGGGGCAGGCGCTGAGCTCTGCTCTCTGGGGACAGCGACAGGACCCGAGGGAATGGCATGGAGCTGGGACAGGGGAGGGTCAGGCTGGGTGTTAGGGAAATCTTCTGCACCTAGAGCATGGTCAGGCACTGGGACAGGCTCTCCAGGGCAGTGGTCAATGCACTGAGCCTGCTGGAGTTCAAGAAGCATTTGGACAACACTCTCATACACATGGTCTGATTTTTTGTATCCTGTATGGAGCCAGTAGTTGGACTGCATGATCCTTGTGGGTCCCTTCCAACTTGGGATGTTCTATGATTCTGTGAAAATGTTAAAGGTCATAAATTGCATATGGATAAAATAGTCTGTGCATGTGCACCTGAATAGCACACCTACGATAGTATTGCACTTAACAAATTGAATATGAAAAATAATTTTCAAAAAAAAGTTGTCATAAAAAGCCAGTCAGAAATGATATTTACATGAAGTGCTAGTATTGTAAAGTTTGTTAACTATGTTTCAAAGAAATCTTCAGAAATCCTAATAAGGGAAATACCTGGAGATGGTTGCCTTTTAAAAATGAAACAAACAAAATAAAAGTAATGAAACATCTTAACACTTATATTTCTATGTTTTTTTTGGTGGTATTCTTGACTTGCTGCTTTTCACAGGTGGGCGCATGTAATGTGTGCAATTGCCATTCCAGAAGTGAGATTTGTTAATGTTATGGAACGTACACCAATAGACACTAGCAGAATACCTTTACAAAGATTGAAATTGGTGAGTAGTATATTCGTACATACTTGATGTATTCTTTGCTAATAAGGCGTCCCAATATTTTGAAATGTATTCAAAATCTGATTTGTGATTACTATTGCAAAGTACAGAACAGTAAACTGTTTAAGGTTATGAGCAAGTATCTGGGATTTTATCAAGATTGGATTCTTGCTTTTGACATATAATGGCATTTCATTAACACTTTTGACAACCTTTAGTACTTGATGAGAGAGAAATTCGTACCTGCGTTCCCCAAAAGAATGACAACAAACTTGACCAGTGTCAACTGTGAATGTTTAACTTTTGTAACTGTGTTGGTCATGGAAGTGTTGAAACCCGGGCTATGAGTATCACATAGTACATGTTTGTGAGGTCTTTTTATTATGTATTTTTGCCTCAAGGAACAATTTGTTGAGGTAAAAGGATGTATGATCTGGTTGTCAAGCAGTATCTCTGCCATCTGGGTATTGAAAAATGTGCACAAAACAGATCACACATTATATTGGACTAAAAAAACCCTACCAAACTGTTTCCTGAAGAATTTTTAAAGCGGATATAAAACGTAAATACAAATACATCCATTACTAACAGTTGTACCCTGTGCTACATCCTGAATAACACTGCCATTCTGGAAAGTTGATGTACAAAATCAGAAGACATGCAACATGGAGAATTTTCCTTACTGTGTTACATGAGAATTACTAAATTTGCCAGCATTTGCGTCGCTGTGATGTCATCTTCTGATAAACAGAAAGTGACTAGTGGACATGGAAACATGCTGGGCAATGATGCCATCGCTTTTCTGCATCTGCTCCGTGCTATTTCAAAAATATTTCTCGACCTACCTGACTTTATATTAGCTCCTTTTACTTCATCATTTTGAACTATTAACCTTTTTGTTACATTTTCATTTCATTCATTATGTTTTGTAGCTATTTTTATGAATGTGGAGATGCATCTTTAATTTAAATTAGATGTCTTTCAAATGGTAATTTGTTCTATATTTTTGTTCAAAAAATCTAAAGTTTGTTTTCCACATCCCTTTTTTGAATCACATAAAGCATATTTTTAAACACTTTATGTATAACTTAGTACAAAAAATGTTGAAAGCTAATTACCTCCACAATTTAAAAAATATTCCTGAATGCTATTTTGGTATTTGTTTAGTTTAATACCCTCTGTTGAAAATGTTGAATGGTCTAAATGTTTTTTCACCATCCTTCTCTCCAGTTTCTTGCCTCAGAACATTAAACCATGGAATTCTTTTTCTTGCTGTTTCAGTATACTTGCATGCACTTCTTGTTCCCACACTGACAGAATCTCTCAGAATCCTATTTGAACCTACAGAGTCTTCTTAATGAGTTTGAAGAGAGTCACAAATTCTTCCTAATCAGAAAATACAACCAGTAGAAGCACTGTGAATTAATTTAATGTTCAGTTATATTTTTTGAGGATCTTAAACAGTCACAGACATCTGTCTGATCAGAAATGGTTGACTTAGAGATTGAAACCACAAAAATGTTTAATTTACCAGGTGTTGAAATTCACGTTCTGATGGGCTGTCCATGACTTGAACTGTGTAAGAGTAGTAGGAGCCTTCTGGAGAAGGCTCAAATTAATTTTAAATTACTGACTATAAAGATATGGAGCCAAAATGCACAAAATTTGTGAGGTTTCAGGATTTACAATTCTTAGGTCATTTCTGCAAAATATGAGGCAATTATACTAAGAATTTGTTCATAACTGACAACTTTTTCTTCTTTCCTGCAGTTGATAAAAGATGGGTTACAGTCCTTAGTATTTTTTCAGTTCTTGAAGCCTCCATCAATATAAAATTACACTGAGGCACTACAGACTGTATTTAGCTACATACACCCTTCTGGTCTCCTGTGAGTCCCTGAATATTTTAAAATACAGTGCTTTTTTTCCTTTAAAAAAATAAATAATAACAGAGTTAGTATATTTGAGTGGAATTAATACTGTGATGAAGGAACTCAGTTGAATACAATAAAATGAGAGGCAGGATACTTTAAAGCAGTAATATATGTAGTGTTGCCCCAGTAGTGGATACCCTTACTGTGAGGGAATGCAGCACTCTAATCTGGGATTGGCTCATTAAATCTTACTTTTCCAAGACTTAGTTTCTGGCATTGAATTTATATTGAAGTAGGTATGCTTGTCCTAATTTAAGGGAAGTATGCAGTTTGACTATCTCTTAAAGGCTGTATATTCCTGGGCTGCATCAAGAGGGGAGTGGCCAGCAGGTTGAGAGAGGTGATTGTCCCCCTCTGCTCTGCTCTTGTGAGGCCCCACTTGGAATGCTGCACCCAGGTCTGAGCCCCCAGCAGCAGAAGGATGTTGATCTGTTAGAGCAGGTCGAGGGGAGGAACACGAAGTTAATGAGAGGGCTGGAGCACCTCTCCTATGAAGAAAGGCTGAGAGAGCTGGGGCTCTTCAGCGTAAAGTAGAGAAGGCTCCAAGGATGACCTCATTGTGTCCTTTCAGTACATAAAGTGGACTTAAAAAAAAGATGGAGAGAGACTCTTTGTAAGAGTAGAGTGTTTGTAGAGTGTTACAAACACATTATAGAGTGTTTGTAGGACTCTTTGTAAGACTCGATGTAAGAGTAACTAGTTCTAGTTGTTTAAAATATTTTAAATATTTCGAACTGTCTTCCCTTTTCCTGTCTGCATTCCTTCCTCTCTCCCGTCCTTACTTTCCCTTTCCCTTGCTTCCTGTCTTTCTCTCTCTGAAATAATAAGAAGTAAGCAGAACATTTACTATTTTCAGAGATCTTTAGAGATTGAGCTGACATTTTCTGTAATGTATCATCTACAAAGGAATATCAAAGGAAATAAAAAGTCAATGTTTTCTTTTTGACAAATTAAATAACATCTGTGCAAATGTGAACATATTGGAAGGCTGTTTTTATTGCCTGGTTGGTATGTATACCAATTGCTATTAAATAGTTTTAATTCACTAGGCATTTTTTGGGTTGAAATCTGTGTGTTTTCTATCAATCTTTCTATTATTAAATATTCAGCATACACTGATTTCTCCCAGAGTAGAAGTCAGTATTTATATTGAACTTACAGTAGCTGTTATTTTTTTATCCAACAATTTCATGTTTGCAAATTACTGGGGTTTTGTTTTTATAGAATGACAAAATGTTGTCATGTTTCTCCAGCTTTTTTTCAGTGGGTTATGTGTCATGTTCTGTCATTGCTGAAAGTTCACATGACACATTGAAATGTTCGTAAAAAATTAATTCCCTTGAAAAAAGTTCTTTAATGCTAGTGGATAGGGTCTAAACCAATAGTGACAAAAGATTTTGGTGCTTCATCTTTCATAGGGGAATGTAAAAGAAAATAATATGCTACATAGTGTGTTGAAATAAAACCGTTTGTGTAATACATTGTATTTCAGGGGTATATATTCATAATACTGATGGAATCTAGCTGACTTTTCATGTGGAAGCAAGAGGCCTCCCACTCAACCTCAGTATAGAGAGAAACTCACAAAGGCGCTATACCACTCCTCTTTATCTTTCTGTGACAATAACTTTTATCTTTCTTTGATAGTTATGTGGATGGGAAAATTAGATTGCCCTGGTCTCTTTTGTCAGAGTCAGGCCTCGGTCAGGCTTTTAGATTCAGCTTGTGTGATCACATCCATCAGACACTTTGAGTTCTAACAGTCATGTGAAATTACAGTTTGTGATTATCAAGCTAGGAGGAAAATACATTGCATGTAGATGTAGAATACAGAGGTTTATGCTCAGGTTCTAGAATGAAATGTATCAAAGATCCTTACCACAATATATATTTTAAACTGTAAACTACAGCTGGTCTGCAGATACTTAGAATAATAGAGTCATGTAGGTTGGGAAAGATGTTCGAGGTAATCAAGCGCAACTGTCGACCTGACCTACTGAGTCTGATCACTAAACACACACTGGCTGCTGATGATCACTGGACTGTCTGGTATGTGCTGTTAGTTGGGATGGTCTAGGGGTCTCCCAGTTCTAACAGCAGTTGTACAAGGAAATTTAAAGAGGGACAATAAACAAATAGCAATTTTAGTAGTGTTTCTTCATAGTGAAAATGGTTGGAGGAGGTAAAAGAGGAGACAAAGTTAATGAGAAGTTATAGTGTTGAGGGGGGACCACATGCAACCTGTCTGAATATGTATGTTGAGTTTCAGCTGGTGGCCATATGGAATGGGTGTGTGATTTGTGGAAAGCTTACGCCATGACTCAGTGGATTTGTGGTATCAGCTTCCATCCCAACATAGCTTAATGGCATCTTAACTGCTTACCCGAAATAAATAAAACTTGGATTTCCAGCTGAGTTTTTTTTTTTTTTCTTATTTTTGCTTTATTCTGCATGTCCTTAAGTGTCTGAGAGAAGCTTGGGTGTAAACTCCTGCTTTTGAAAACTTTTTGGCTGTTTATATTTTAAGAGGCTTTGGGTCATAGAAAACAGACTGTGGATTCCTGGACTTGTCAAAGTCCATGAAAAAACTCCATTTTACTTTGACAATGGAAAAGGTTTCCTCCAAGTATTTAGATGGTCTCTGCTTTCGAAAGAATGTTAATTACTTAGCTGTAATTATAAATTTGAACTATAGCTGCAGGAAAAAAATCTTGGGGGATGAAAAATGAGACTGACCTCTCAAACATAAACCCAGCTTTTAAAAGAAAGAATAACTACTCTCATCTGTCATTCTATTTCAATAAAACATACAACTTAAAAATAGATTAAATACAAACATTTCCTATTATATGGCCAAGGAGCCTAAGCCAGCAGGAATACGAACATAATTTCATTTACCCTTGTCAGACGCGTGACTTATAATGAACAGTAGATATTATAAATAGGAGTGTTTCAATGTTTCATCTGCTGTAAAAAAAACATTTAAATAGAATCATTAGCATCTGTTCCTAAACCTATGTATTTAAGATGTCAATTTTAAAATCTTGTTTTGAATAGAATACATATCAA